ACATTGTGATAACAATTTTCTACCGATATCACAGCAGGTTGATTTACTCAGCTGCACATAACAGCAGTATTTTTCTTAAAGCTTTGAAACTCTTGAATGAGAGGTGGAACACTAACTGTAGACATGTAATGTATTAAATTTCTAAGACTTCAAAGGGAGCATAATTAACTCAGTGCCACATAATTGCTCCAGAGACAGAAAAAAAGATGCAAACAGAATTGATATGCCCATTTTTCCCGTTAGCAATTAAATGACAATGCTAAGTGAGCAATTTCTTTTTTAGAACTCATTCTTTTGACTTTAAGGTTAATTTTTCCTTTGAATATTTCAACAACTTTCTGTGCCCACTTATAATTTGTAGGAAGCAATAAAAGTGAGAGTTCTGTTATCCCCTTTCTTTGGCTAGAATTTCCCCCTTGCCCTCTCTCCCTCTCTTAGGTCCTTAATGAACCAGTCTCTGCCCTCATTATAAATTTCAATTCCTCTATCATTCCTTTTATCCCAATCCATCAGTTTCTTCTTTCTAGCTTCATATGCTTTTCTATTCATCATATAATCCTTGGTAAGTTATTTCTACAAATAACTTCTCTTAGGATCTGACAATCATGTACCCCTTTGACCCACTGACAACTTTACTATTTTCAAAATGTGAGTTTCCCTTACCATCCACAATCAGCACTAGCTGCAAGGATGTTAAACATTGCTGGAGGAAGTTAGAGAACAGTATTGACAGGATCTAGAGAGACCTTTAGTTTTTTCAACTTAAATGTGGAGTTTGGAGAAAATGTTCTATGTTCTGAATCTAAAATGTCATGATTCAAGATACTATTTCTTAAAAAGTGTAACAATGGTTCTTAAAGTACCTTATGTTTGTTTAGTTTTAACCTCTAAAAAGCTGAAAGAACACGCTGGAACTTCCAACTCAAAAGGTTAAAAGGATTACCCCCTAAACCCTCAATAAAAGAACCATGAGGAAAAAGGGAAAAGACCATCGGAAAAGTATTTTTAAATAAATTACTGAGAAAAGAAAAGCAGATGAAGTAGTGGTATTTGATGATACTTGGTAGAAGAAGCCACAGACTAGTTATTGTCATATGGGGCAGCAGCAGAGAACCCTCTCATCTGCTGAGCCCTAGAAATTTTGATACTTGACAAATGCCAAGCCAAATGGAGGGCAGGAATGAGATGAGAGCTGAAAAGTATGGGAGCAGAGACAGTTCTTATCATTCCCAGTAGTTACGTTCTGTAAATTTCCTGAGAACACTGAATTAATAAATGCTGAACCACTGCTTCTAGGGGAAATGCAGGGTTTGGTTCCTATAAGCCTCTGGGTTTATTTATGTCTCTATTTGAAGATATTTAAATTTATATACAATATCTATACACTTAATACTATTGTACATATGGTTAATAAATGTTATATATAAATATATATATGTGTGTGTATGTACATATGTATGTACATGTGTATGTACATATGTATGTACATATATATGTACATACATACACACACATACTATTGTATTCTAGTCCATTTGAGCCGCTGTAACAAAACACCACAGATTGGGTAGCTTATTAAAAGCAAAAATTTATTTCTCACAGTTCTGGAGGCTGGTAGTTCAGTCAGGTACCAGCATGGTTGTGCCATGCAAAAGAAGACCCTCTTTTCGCTGCAGACTCCTTGCTGTATTTTTACTTGGCGGAAGGCACTGGAGAGCTCTGCAGGGTTCTTTTTAGCGTTCAGAATAGCACTGATCTTATTTAGGAAGACTCCATCCTCAGGATTTCGGCAGCTCCCAAAGGCCCCACCCACTGAAACCATCACAAGGGACACAGAATTTCAACATATGAATTTGCAGGGGGCCAGCACAAACATTCAAACAATAATATGTCGATTCATTAACGTTGAACTCATGGCCAGGGGTACTCATGCTTGAGTGGACCTTATCAAACAGGTATTTTCTCAATAGGACATATGGGCTCAGTTAAGGACAGCACTTTAGCACTACACTTGGAGGCCATTTTAAACAGTGGAATCACCAACAAATGGCACAAAAAATGCAAAAAAGGAGGCATGAAATAGACTGCAAAATGGACATTTGTTTACAGTATGAGAACTGAAACAAGAAAGCAGAGCACAGCTTTGTTCAACCTTAGCTGGCAGTATGGGCCGTCAGGCAACTCACATTTTTCACAGCTCTGAACATTTTGTGAATGGCTTGTGAAAACATCCCTAGTATTGATTTTCAAGCTACAAATAAATCTCAGTGAGTAGGCGAATTCGCAAATACAGAATCAGTGAATAAAGAGGACTGATTCAAGTTAAATACACACTGATTTTCACAAAGACCTTCTCACATACTGGCTCATGCAAAATGTCCTTAAAAGCTGACATTCATATATATATATATATATATATATATATATATATATATATATATGAATATACACACACAAACACACATAGATAGATGATAGATAGATAGATAGGATTCTCATCTACAAAAACCAAGACACCATCTGCGCTAAGCTGGGGAAACTAGTGCTGGCATCGTCATCCTAGAATAAAGACCACACATAAACATACATACAATATCTATTCTTTGTATCTCCAGAACTTTGGTGCTGTGTGCCATGTAAATCCTTGTTGTCTGCCTTTTGAATTAATTGTTTCTGATATTGAGGGATCAGTCTATTTCCTAAGTGGGAAAAGTCTTCTAGAACCCATGGGAGAGCAGAAGAAAGGGGAGAGATATTTGAAAACATCAACTGAAAATGGGAACCACTATGCAGGTCAGAGAAAACAGCTAGCTTAGGATAGGAAAGGTGGTGGATTCACATTATTTCTGTCATTCCTATGTCACTGTTTGAGACCATAGAATATAGTTAGTACAGTTTGGAGACATAAAATGAGTGACTGTGAAAGACAATTGAGTGGGAGAAAAAGTGATGTCTGGGTAGAGGAAGGAAGAGAAGTCTCAGAAAACTCACAAAAACAGATTTTGTATGTTTGGGAACAAAGATGGAAACAGTATTACAGGTATCAATCTTCAGAGTCAAGGATGAAGGGCCATGGTTAGAATACAAGTCAAGATCACGACTTGGCAAAAGGGACAAAGTCATCTTGTCCCTCTTCTCAGCCCATTTCTTCTGACTGCTTAGTAAATATACACAAATTGTTACCTGGCACTCATGGACTTTGCCATCTGGTTTAAATCCTTGTGTTACGTAGTGTGTGTCACTTCCCTTTTTCACATGTCCTACTTTGAATCTATACAAAACTACTTGCTCTATTCTGAGCGCACAGTCAAGGACTGTGTCTTTCCACATCTTGATATTCTTTTCAGTTCACCAAGTATTTTTTGAGCATCTGCTATGGTCAGGCATGTGCTATATGCTAGAAAAAATGACCTAGAAATTAACATGTCTTAAGTACTTACTAGGAGCCACCTTCCTCTCTCCCCTTTAAGGCATATCACGGGATGTCTCATTACATTACAAATTTAATAAAGTTGAAATCAATATATTATTCTCATTTGATTGATGATAAAACAGAGGCTTAGAAGTGTTGGGTAATTTGCCAACCCCACATAACCAGAAAGTGGCTGGGATGGACTTGTATATATCTGTTGCATACCACACTGCTTTCATGAATTCCTACTCATGATAATAAGTACAATTCAAATGAGTCTTCTCAATGAAGCCTTCTCTGATCTCTACAATCCCTAACCAAGGACGACCCGAGATGTGTCAAACCTCACTTATTATAATTTTAAGATTCCAATTTATGTTATATGTCTTTGTGTATTAACCTTAAAATTTTCAGCAGATTTTGGGTTTCTTGAAGAAAAGACCCAACTCCTGTAAAATTGGAAATATTCTTTCTATTGTGGAAAAATCTAGTTGTTCAAAGAGACTCTCTGAGTAATTTGCTAGATTAGAAAATGTCAACGTTCTGTATTTGTCTATTAATGCATAATGAAGTTGTCTATTAAAATGTTTTAAAAAAAATGTCATTATTGATAGTTTTCCAAAAGTTTTATTCTTCTTAGTGATTTATATTCTGCTTCAGTTCCTTAATACCAATTAGGTTATAGAGTGTCAAAGAATTTCTAACACATTCCTAATTTGGAGGCTTTATAGCAGTACTTTGGGAGCTAAAGAAAGCTTACTAGAGAAGTGAGGAAAAAAGTATTAGTCAAATAAAGTCACCAAAATTAAAAACACTAATAATAAAACCCATGTGAATATATGTAATGTCATGACCAGTTCTAGCACTATACAGAATTAAAAACTTGAAGTAAGGCAAATGACAATAAACCTGTTAAGGCACTAGTTAAGCATTTTAGAACATAAAGATGTTACACCAATCATTAAAAAGTCTGAATTGTATTTTTACAAACGTTTGGAGTTTCTAGCCAAACAAACAGATACAATTAAAATTTTGAAGATGCAGCATCATAAAACGTACAATGGTCATCACTTTGCGGAGAGCTTCAGACAGTTTTAGTTATTCATCTTGGTACAGAGTTCACAGAACAGAAGTAAATCTGCTCTTTGTTTTTGTAAAAGTAATCACATTCAGGCAATAATAGCCTGGTTCAAGTTTATCTTTCCTCAGAGGTAAAATTCTAACTTGCAAAAATTTAAGGATTAGTTGGAGAATTGTGCACTTGTGGTTTTATTCTTGAACGTGTTGAAGTCATTCAGGGTCAACAACACTTTCAAACTCCCATGACATTTCTTAAAATCATCGTGGCTATGTGCTTAAATATATAAATACCAACATTCTCAGCAGTTAACTGTGCAGGATGTGTGAAAATTTTGTGCAGTATGAATGCCACAAACAAGGAATTCAGTGTGCTACCCTCCATTAGTGCTGATGACAGTCGTGTAGTTAATTCTATACTGCTCTTAATCTTTTCAACTGACTATGAGGTCTATTCCAAAGCATTTAATTTTTTTAACCCTACCCCTACCCGATGACAATTTTTACTTACCTCAGTAATGAAAGATTTGGCTGTAGCAGGATTCATAACAAGGATGGCTCGTCTAAGAGTGTCTCGATAGCGATTCAATTCCTCTATTCTCAAGGTGTCAAAGAGAGTGGTGATCATTTTATTGATGTTGTTTTCTACTTTCTGCAATGCAACATCCATTCCCTGCTGAGACACCTTGTCCAAAAACTCCTGTATTCCACGGATATCTAGGAACATCAAAAGCCCATCAAAATGTGAATTAGAGCAGAGAAGGGAGATAAAAGCTATTTCGCTCACACCAAAAGGCAGTTTATTGTTCAGCATTGTAAGCTATTTAAAACTACTAATTGAGTAGCTGATAGAACTCTCAAATATATTTTAGGCATAGTACAAGTTAATGTGTTTACATAAGAAAATGTAGGAATTATTATTATTCTTTAAATGGATTTGTTTCTCTCCATTGAGCACTTTAAATTATCTCACCTCTAAAAAAATCTTAGGACACAGTAGAGGGAAATAGTTGAGGAGGACTCTCACGTGTCTAAAATAGATGTGAGATTAAGAAAGTACATTTGTTATTTTGCTCAGGATTAAAGAGTGATGTTAACTTTAGGTAAAATATGAATATTGTTAACGGCAGATGGATCTAAATCAAAATTACTAATGTTTCTCAAAATGGGCAACAACATCATACAGCCAACTGTATGTAAACTAATTGCATTTAAGTTAAAAAAAATTGTCTCTATTTCATATTTAAATAAAAAGGATAAAATCCAGTCTACCTTAAGTGTTTACAGATTGTACTTTGATATATAGTAAAGTAACAATAAGTAAGTGTCTGAAATGTTACAAATAGTTCTTCCAAGTAAGCATGGGCTGTTTATAGAAGGAGGGATCTGAACATTGAAAAATATGATTGAAGATGTATCTGCCACAATATAATCTTAATATAGAAGATTTGCTTTTACTATACAATAAACCATATTTTTCTATATATATCCATGGCATAAAGTGTTTAAATGGAAAAAACTGGTGAAAGATAGGAAGTAATAAGGATTATAGGTTACTTATTATGAATGAACTATATCTCAAAAATCCCAATTGTACATAATTACATGCATGTAAAATTTGCCTTTAAAGGGCAATAATTAGTTCATGAGTTTTTCATTACATTACCAATTAAAAGCAATGTATAAGCCCACAGAACAAGAAAACAAATGGTCACAAATTTGGAAGCTATTTGCTCACAATAAAAGTTTGTATTTGCAGAGTTACAAATTAATAAAAAGAACTTTGCTTTCTTTTTATGATTGGCTTTATTTTAAAACAATTCTATAAATAGTATATGTTATCTTGTGAATCTCAAACTCTTAACATAAATAACTGTATGAATTCTACCTTGTATTTCTTATCCCCAATTATATTAGAATCCAGGATGTCAGAATGATAGCAGCTTAAAAGAACAAAGCTCTCATCTACAGCAGAACAAGAGATGCAAAATCCGGAATAACATATTAATCAGTAATTATGTACTCATTAAATATCCAAGTCAGAGAGTATCTGAGGGTATAGAATACTCAAGCATGGATTAAACAAAATGTTAGATACAGGTAGACCTATAACAGGACTATGAACACACTCAACAGGTGTTCTTAAACTTTGGTATACATCAGAATCATCTGCAAATCTGATTAAAAACACAGAAGACTGGGCTCCACCCCAGAAAGAATATGTCTTTATAAAAGCAGATCCTTGATTTTGAATTATAAGTAGTTGCTGTTTCTTTATATTGAAGCACTTAAATGGGTAGCAAAATATAAGACAAACAGTACAAGAACTATCTTGAAATATATTTTGTGACCAAAGCTTAAGGCTCCAGATCATTAACATTCTAGGAAATCTCTGTTCACAGATATAATATTCTGGTGTAATTTCATATCTTAACTTTAAAAAAAAGAAAAAAAATATTCCACAAGGTACTTACTGAATACAGATACACAACGCTGTGTGCAAGGAATACAACAGTGAGCACCCCTCCCCACACTGAGATACACAGTGAGCAAGCAAACTAATAAATACAAGTCACACTAAGTGCTTGGAAGGAAACGATAAGGTGTTCTGGTAGATAATGATGGGGTGATTATGTATTTTAGTTGGAGATGTATTTTAGTTGTAATACCCAAGGGAGGTTTCTTTGGGAAATTGATACTTAAACGGATCTGAAAGATGAGAAGTCATTACCCAGGCAAAGAAGTAAGAAAAGAAGATGACCACATGGAAAATGTCCCAAGACAGTGAAGAGTCTGTTGGAGGAACCTAAAGGATTCCAGTGTGGGTGCAGCTGTTACTGAGGGGAGAGGGGAATGAGGCGGACATGAATGGAGAGGGAGGGTCAGATTATGTGGTTCCCAGTGAGACACAGAAAGAAGTTCTGATTTTATCCTAAATGCAATTTTAATCTACTGTAAGTTTTAAGTGGAGGATCTAAGTGGAAAACAAGCTATCCCTTTGCTTCCTTAGTCTGGAATTCTGGTTAACACTGCCTAGATGATGTGAAACAAAATTTTCAAAATTTTGTTTTTTGGTCTGTAAATTAGGAAATATTTATTTTACAGATGTCTTCAAAGGTCAGATTAATGAGGGTGTCCATGTGTGTGTGTATGTGTGCAAAATCCAGTGTAGGATCTAACACATGGTGGTTGTTATTATTGTTAATAATAGTACATAATCAATTGTTAAGGGACCACCCCTTTCCACACCTATAGAACATAACTGCCTAAAATTTTACTGTTGGGTAGCTACCCCCCAATAGCAAGCATAATGTTTTAGACTCTCAGAAGGCATGAATTAAATAATAATAGCTTTGCTTGTTTAAGAATAACACTACACACCCAGAATATGTAGAATTGGTCAGTTTAATATGAGAAGAATTTGAATCATGCTGTCTATTAGCTGCTCTGTGGAAGAGTCACTAAAAGAGAGAGTGGACCTCTGGTTTTATTAATTCATGAACATAATTAACCATCACAATTATTCAGCCACCTTATCTGTGTGTCCATTACTTAACAAGAAGTAAAAATAAAAGTCACAGAAACAAAAGAGACAAGAGAGTATGCCTAACTTCAAGGAACTTCCAGGCCTGTGGGTGTGACTAAGTGCTATTTATTAATAACAGCAAGTTAAATAGCAGTTTCAGTTCAGTAATTCTAGTGATTATTAATTCTACTGACCAGATAATTCTATAACAGCGAGGGGTGGAAGCCTCATTAACTGAGTTATTAAACATAAGATTCGGGAAAAAAATGACTTTCTTTCCTGGATACTATAAGAGAACTTGAAGTCGGTAGAATAATGACCTTCCAAAGATGCCCAAATCCTAATGCCTGGAACCTATAAGTTATTCAGCAAAGAGGAATTAATGCTCCTGGTGGCATGATTAAAGTTGTTAATCACAACACCTGAAGATGGGGAGATATCTTCTATTATTAGGGTGAGTCTAGTGATCACGGAGTCCTTAAAATTAGAAGAAAAAGACAGACAAGAGAGTCAAAGGGAGATCTGACTACTGAAGAATGAATTGGCTTTGAGGAAATGTCAGAGAGATCCGACATTGCTGGCTTTGATGAAAAGGAAAGGGGAACTCCAGCAGAAAAAAGGTGGATGGTCTCTAGAAGCTAGTAAAGGCAAGGAAGGTTCTCCCCAAGAACCTCTGGAGAGGAACACGGAATTGCTAATATCTTGATTTTAACCCTTTGAGATCCCATGTCAGACTTCCGACCTCCAGAACTGTCACATAATAACCTGTGGTGTTTAAGCCTCTAAATTTGTGGTCATTTGTTACAGCAGCAACAGAAAACTAATGTAGAAGTGTACTTTAGTCTAGTCCTTAGTCACTATTTTTCAAATTGTGGTCTACTTAATTTTTTTTGGAATCATCTGGAGAACTTGTTGAAGAAGTTTTCTAAGCCCCACCCCATTCTAATAAAATAAAAACTTTCATGACAAAGCCCAGCGATTTTCTTCAGCTGATGATCCTGAAGAAACCAGTTTGGAAATCAATGCTCCAATTTCTTAACCTTTTTTGTGTCACAGAATCATTTGAAAAAGCCACAAAGATTATGGATTCTCCCTTTTCCCTAAATATGTACATACCCAAAACGTGATGCAGACTACCTAGATTATGGTCTCTCAGTCTGATCTGCTTGATTTCCTCATCGGTAGTTATCAGAGAACCTGGATTAGCATATTGTCACTGCTCTTACTGATTTTTTTCTATTCATACTATATAGGAACGTAAAGCATAGATAGTCACTCATTAACTAACAGCGTGTATTACATTTTATTTAAGCAGAGGAAACTTTTAATAAAAATATTAAGAAATATAACAAAAATGAATGCCTTTCCCAATTATATTTCATTGGTTTCAGTTATTAATTAGTCTAAATCTAGCTGTTCTTCACGCCTAAGGAAAACTTATGCTGTAGAAAATAGAGTTCCCGTGTAAGTAGACTCTGGAGATAAGGATGGAAGAACAGGAAGCTTGTTGGGGACAGCTCTAAGGAAGCCAGGGAAGGGACCCAGGGAAGGGAGCAAGAGTCAGCAGAGGAGGAGCCGTGGTACAGCTCAGCAGAGACCTGCCCAGCCCCTGGGAAATGGGATGCCCTCAGAGTTTCCCAAGTTAGGACCAGTGGAAGTAGAAACTTTATCAATATGCATGGACTTTGGTTTTGTGGTTCTCTTTAGCTGAGGGCAATTCCTGGGGAGGGTAGTCAGTTGCCAAATGCTCTTAGTAGATGGAGAAGTAAGTGCTTTAGTTTTGAAGGGGGGTTTGGATGGCACAGAACAGAATGCATCCAGGAATTTTCCTTGCATTTGTTATTTTGGTTCTCAGGGTAATTTGACCGTGTAAGTAATTTGCCTTTATAAATCACTGTATTTTTCTTTTTTCTTTCTTTCTTTTTTTTTTTTTAAGATTTTTTTTTATTTATTTGACAGAGATCACAAGCAGGCAGAGAGGCAGTCGGCGGGGGTGGGGGGAAGCAGGCTCCCTGCTCAGCAGAGAGCCCGATACGGGGCTCCATCCCAGGACCCTGGGATCATGACCGGAGCCAAAGGCAGAGGTTTTAACACACTGAGCCACCCAGGCACCCCTGTATTTTTCTTTTTTGAAACAACTTTCTACTATGGAAAACACACTACGTTTGATGTCAGACAATCAGGTTTGGAT